ATAGCCGAATCATTGCTTGCATTTTCATTATAAAGAAAAAAAGAAGAAGGCAAAGCTGACGATTTACGTTTGCAGTTCACAAAATTGTAAAACTGCTTAGGCTCTTGATCAAATTGAGCTTTATAGCGCTCAAGCTACTTAGTGTAACACTGAGAATTGAGAAGAAGAAAGATCGATTTGGCTATAGAGTATTTTGAAAAATCCAAACAAGATCCAGTTTGCTTGAACTTTTTAAAATACCTAGATTTCCTATTCTTTAAAGTGGAAAGTTGCTCATTAAACCAAGGAGGTTTAATTGAGGAATATGGTACAACGCTATAGGGAATGCAGACATGCTTCGTAAAGATAAATCGAGATTTCAATAGTAGGGTAATACGGATCTTCGGGAATAGATAGAGGTGAAGATCTAGAGATTACAGCATCTGTGCCCTCGTTTATAAAAATGAGGTCAAGCAGTCTATTTAGGTTATTAAAAATTGAATTAATTTGAACCAAAGACAATTCAAAGAGAGAATCAAGAAAGTCATGATGTGATGAGGCAATAAGGTGATCAGAGCCATTAAAAAACCCCGGGGAATATTTGGCAGATTGAAATCACCGACCACAATTAGGGCGTCATTATCCCGTAAAGAAGAAGATACTTTGCTGATACAATTTATATGGTGCATATAAACTTGAAAATCAGCAGATGGAGGAATATAAGAGCAAGTGATAAATACAGCATGTGAAGATAGAACTACTCTAACCACAATAAATTCTACTTCAGCATTCATATTTTTATAAACAAGTTCTGATCGAGGGGTGGATTTGACTGAGATCAGTACACCACCACCACGACGATTTGGGCGATCACGCCTATAAATGGTAAAGATATTTGACAGAATTTCATAGTCAGAAACAGAGTCTTTTAACCATGTTTCCGAAAATGAAATAAAGTCAGATTCGAGCGCTATGCTGTCTTTAAATAAGTTTTTAAGCTTAAATAAAAGACCTCTAATATTTTGATAATGTAGAGTAAACGGAACGTGAACATGGTCTAGTTTTTTGAGGCATTACTGGTGGTAGGCTGAGTAGAGGGGGCAACAGGCAATGAAACAGGGGCTGGTAGAGTTCTTTTTCTTTGTTTGAACTCATGAACAATCATATGAGGAGGCCAAAATTTAGGGTCACAAATAATAGGAAACAGTTCAACGGAGACTCTAATTTTAAACGACGCTATTTCGCGAGGTTCAGAGAAATTAAATTTAGAAATGGAAACACTAGCTAAAATTTTGCTAGCTATAGAAGTTTTAATGGATTCGCAAGTCGTATCAGCGGATAACTTCGATACAAACACTTTTTTCTGAGGAGCCATGACATTAAGAGTAGGAGGATTGGGAGCAGAAGATGTAACCTCCGCCACTTTAGGCGTTAAGTCTGAAACGCGTGCGGACCTTTTTGAAGCAGTACTCAAGACTGATTTTTCATTGTTCGCAGGCGGAATGTTAACCAGCGTCGATGAAACTTCAATTGGAGAAGGCAGGGAGAGCCATCAAATATATTTGGGGAAGCTAACTGAGATAGAACTGGAGAAAAAATCTCATAATGAGGAGTTGCTGGGAGGGGCAAATGTGGCAAGGTTGAGCCAGAAGGGATAGATGGGGGAATATTTAAAAATTGAGAATCCAACCGGCGTTTTGCTGGAGACTCAAATTTATGCTTGCTTAGCAAGTCGATACCCAAATCGAAATCGCTGGCAGTTTTTTTGAAATCTTCTGCAATTTTACAAATTGGTTTTTCACGCTGTTATGCACACGTGAAAAATCACATTCCATATAAATACATACCGGGCATGACCATTCCAAGCCGCCGCAACCATTTTTGGCCTTAGCAACTACCTTGTCGTGGTCACGACCGGTAAGCCCTGCACACTTAATATGCATCATATATTGTCACACAACCAGCAGCTAATATACTGCGGTTGAGCAACATCATAAGCATCCTTAATAGTGCAAGATTTTTAGCAGGAAGCCATATTCAAAAACAAATATTAAATTCCCACTGTTGCTAAAAACGGTGTAAAGTACAAGTAAACAGACTGAATAGACGGGAGAGGCTACTGGCAGCAGCAAAAGCATAAGCTCTAACACAAGAAATGTTAGAGAGCGAAACACAACAAAGTGCGTGAGCGCGATGCACAAAAAGAATAAAGCACAAGCAAACACACACACACACACTTGTGTTAAAGAAAGGGAGCACAAAAACGATTGTAGAAAAAAGGGCACAAGCACAAAAAACAGCCGTCACTATGCTTAATTAAAATGAGTATAACACAAAATTGTAGTGCACAACTGATAACAGAAAATCTCGGGCTTACCGCTTAGGCAACAAATTTTAAAAATTTGTACATTTCATGTACAGAGTATAATAAATAAAATCACAAAATTTCAAAAAACGAAAAAATACGTACATATATTTTTATTTTGCCAAAGCAAAAAACCGCATTGAAATCAGACAAAATTACATAAAATCGCTGGCCATGCTCTTCCTGTAGCTATGCCCGCAGCGTTCAATTTTGTTCTCCATAGACACACGCATATAAACATGCAGAGACACAATTCTGATGTAAATGTATGCTATTGAAACTGTACATATACCTCCTATATGTATTAAATAATTTGTATTTAATTTAATAAATAAAATTAACAAAATTTTTTTTTTCCTTTCTGGTGGGAGGTACAGGGTATTTAAGAGTTGATCTCGGTCGACTTTAGCATTCCTTTCTTGTTTTGACTTAAAGAGCAGTGAATAGTATTTATACTCTGTACATGAAATGTACAAGAGTATAATAGGTTTGCGGCAAGGGAAAAATGTAACAGGCAGAAGAAGGCGTGGCAGACCCCACAAAGAGTATATATTCTTGATCAGCATGAAAAGACGAATCGATCTATGTCTGTCTGTCCGTATGAACACCTGGATCTCAGAGACTATAAGAGGTAGAGACACCAAATTTTTCACAAAGATGCCTTATGTGTCGTATGCTATACGAGTTTGTTTTATATTTTTGATTTTCCCCCGCCCCCCACTTCCCCGCTATGGGGTTTTTTCCGTAACGCCATTCTTATAATCACCTATATCTCGGAGACTATAAGACCTAGGGAGATCAAATTTAAGTCCAAGATGCCTTATGTGAGCACGCAGAAAATATGTTTTGGAATCCGCCCCCATCTCCAACCAAAAACCGCGATTTTCCTTAACTCCCGTAATTCTTGTAATTTCGAACTCAATTTTGCAAATACACCCAGTTAGTGATTATGTATCCGTATGCCAAGTTTCATCATGACAGACCGATTTAACAGGAACTTATAGCCATAAATATAATTGCTGCCCAAGCGTTGCCCGCAGCTGTGTTGATGTTGGTGTTTTGGTTGTCTGCAAACTTGCGCACACACACACACACACACACACGAATAGACATATCGGCATATACATACAGTTAGTGATTATGTGTCCGTATGTTAAGTTTCATCATGATCGGTCAATTCTGAAGCAAGTTATAGCCATAAATAAAATCGCTGCCTTCAGCTCTGCCCGCAGCGCTGAACGCATCTGTTGCTGCTGCTTTGGTTCAACTTTGTACTGAATACACACACGCATATAAACACGCATAGACACGAAGATGTAAATGTATGCTGTTGAAACTGTACTTTGTATGTATGTATGTACATATGTATTGAATATATATTTTTTTAATTTAATGAATTAATTATACTCTGTACATGAAATGTACAGAAGTATATTAGGTGTGCGGGAGCTGAAAAATGTAACAGGCAGAAGGAGACGTGGCAGACCCCACAAAGTATATATATTCTTGATCAGCATGACGAGACGAGTCGATCTAGCCCTGTCTGTCCGTCCGTATGAACACCTAGATCTCAGAGACTATAAGAGATAGAGACACCAAATTTTGCACAAAGATGCCTTATGTGTGTATTCTATACGAGTTTGTTTCATTTTTTTGATTTTCCCCCCTATGGGGGTTTCCCCCCTCCCCTCTCCCACGCAAATGCGATTTTCTCTAACTCCCGTAATTCTTGGAATTTCGAACTAAAATTTTGGAAATACCCCCAGTTAGTAATTATGTGTCCGTATGCCAAGTTTCACTATGATAGACCGATTTACCAAGAAGTTATAGCCATAAATATATTTGCTGCTGCAGCGCTGCTGCAGCGCTGCCCGCGGCTGTTGTTGATGTTGCTGTTTGGTTGACTGCGAAAATGCTTACACAGACACGAATAGATGCGCATAGGCATACATACACTCACACAGACGCAATTGCTATGTAAATGTGCAATTATACACCCCTTACGTGAGTTCGAATACCGAGAAAGGTAAAATCGATCATTGAATTTTTTTTTATTTTCTTAATTTTTTTTATTTTCTATAATTATTGTAAACATATGTACAGAGTATTTCAAAGTCGGGACACCCGACTTTAGCTTTTTTACTTGTTCTTTTTTTTCTCTATCTCTTTTGATCTTATTGTTATCATAAGTGTATTGTTAGTACATAAGTGTTGCCTAATTTTTTATAGCCTGTACCCAAAGGGTGAAAGGCTATACACACAGAAGGAGGCGTGGCAGACCCCACAAAGTATATATATTCTTGATCAGGATGAGAAGCCGAGTTGATATAGCCTTGTCCGTCCGTCCGTCTGTCTACAAAATTTATATATAGAATGAGCTTGTAAGCATTGTTTTTCTGGTAAGTGTATATACTTTGTGGGGTCTAACGTGCCTCCTTCTGCTTGTTACATTTTTCATGTACAGAGTATACAAAAGACGTTACGTAATAATAATGATATCTGAAAAACAAATAATTAATTAAACCAGCTCCCCATTCTATTAAAATGGCAAGCTTTCATAGAACGCAGGCAAGTATCTCATTTCCCAAATTAATGACTAAGTAGTGTATGAGTACGAATGTAATAAAAAAGTAATAGAGGGAAAAAGAAAAAAAATTTAACCCACATACCCAAAGCTCAGGCTTACAAAATAATTCGAATTTGTCGCATTGCTTGTACCAGTAATTGATGCTATTGTGTTAGAAACTGCTGAAGTACGCTGTGGGCGCCGTTTATAAAATTCGATTTCATCTACAGTCCAAACCGCACCTTTCACATTCTCTACTCTCGTAAAGCATTTGTGAAGCGATAAATTATGACGGACAGCGTTCTAGGTAGGATTTCATAAATAATTTAATAACGGCATTTAAAAATCTTTAAACTTTCTGAACTTGTACCGTAATGAAATTATGGACATTATTATCTGGTACATTTGATGATAAGTAAATATCTGATATTGAAAGCTTTATATTATTTGTATGGACATACGAGTTTATTTCCTTTATTACCTTCCAAGTTGCTGCGTTTCGGCGGAAATAACAAAAAGTGTTCTGGAACCAGTTATATATTTCATTCAACGTCAACTGTTTGTCGGGAGAGTCAATAATTGCCTTTAAATGAAATAGAAAAATTTTAAAAATATTAATAGAAATCATTTTGGTAATTTTTATTTCATAAATTATTTAAATAAAATAAATACAGCATGAATGATGACATTTGTTTATGTACAGTTGCGACAGCATACAATTACAACACAATCATGTCTATGCCAGTTTATGTGCATGCAGAGCGTGGGCAGAGATTACATTTATGCATATGACTGCATTTCAAATTGACTTATCTTGATGAAAGTTGGCTTACGGATAGTAACTTACTTTTATTCAAACATTTGGAGAATTACGGGAGATATGGAAAATCACTAAAAGCGCGGTAGCGGGGAGGGTAGGATTGAAAGAAACTCAAAGTTGGGTATTCTAGCTCTAATATTTTTTGAGATATTTGCCTTCACCCGGACGGGCGGGCAGACGGGCATGACTATATCGACTGGTCTTGCTATACTGATCAAGAATACATATATATATTTTTAGCGATAACAAACAAACGATATTTAATTAGTTTTTAATTAAAAGACACGCGGAAGTCTTTGATTATAAGAATTGGCTTTAATATGGCTTGGAAATGTACAAAAAGGTTTTTAGTGCGGCTATTACCAAATGAGTAATTTGCTTGTACAAGGAAAATGGAGAGCGCAATAAAGAGTGCAAAAGAAGGACTTAATAATTATACAAGGTGCTCCAACAATATACATTCCCACTAAACTATTTTATACTTTGGGAATAGGGTATAATTACTACTTCTACTTTGCAATTATTTGTAAGTCTGTATTATGTCCTGCTCAATATGGCTTCATAAAAAATCCGCCGGCATTGAGTAATCTACATTTTTAGTAGTATTCTGTGAATCACAACTTCATATTATGTTATAGTTGCTCTCAGTGCATAATGAGACTGAAAGGACACACTGAACTAGAGGAATTGTACATAGCCACCAAGGTCTGCATTAAGGAACAGCTTAGCTCTGAATCTCATGACGCATCGTTTTCTGCCGCTTCGGCACCTTGCCCTGCATTACCGTCATCAATTAAATTGCCTAGGATTGCGCTATTTGTTTATATTTGTTGGCAACTATGTAAACTAAAATATCTCATATAGAAAAGTTTATCCATCCCTTCAGATTTTTAAAAGGAGCTGCATTGGATACGATAAAGGCATTCCAAGTTTTGTTGTTGTTGTTGTTTTTGTTGTTGTAACAGGTGGGTTATATTTGCAATCTGTCCAATTGGACAATCAGCAAATTATAATGGGAGAATATTGGCATTAGGATTTTGTATTATGTGTGCCTTAGGGGTGCGGAAGTGTAGTTTGTGCGATGACGGTCAAGCGGGTGATATCTTCTTAGACGGCGGGTGGAGGTGCTGTTGTCAAGAAGGTTAATGGCGGGGGGATTGGTGTGGCTGTCCGGTCGCTCCATGTGGGCTCTGCTCAGTCTGGAAATCTCCTGATAAGCCCATGGGACTCCAAGCTCGTTGTGAATCTCCACGGTTGAGTGGAATAGGTGCGCATTGGAGATGATTCTGAGTGCTTTGTTTTGAAACTTTTGTATGATATTACAGTTGGTTCGGCAGGCGGTGTCTCAGATCGGAATTCCATAGGTCCACTAGGGTTTCATTATAGCATTATAAATTAAAAGCTTGAAGCGCAGCCTCTGGGTGGACCTTTTGCTAACAAGCCACAGATGCTTTTTGAGCCTTTCGTTTAGCTGTGATCTTTTGCTGAGTAGGTGAGGTCTCCAGGTAAATCTTCCGTCTAGAACCAGACCCAAATACTTGGCTGTATCACTGCTAGGGATAGTTGAGCCGTCCAGTTCAACCGGAAAGGTAGTCTCCACTTCTTAGGGCTAAAGTGGTTTAAGTGGGGTTGACCATCATATTCCATCTCTTTAGCCAGATATTAATGGAGTCAAGCTGCATTTGGAGGATATCAGTGGTAGTCTGTGACGAGACATCGCTTTCCAAGAAGGCCGTGTCGCCGGCATAGGTGGCAGCCAGTAGTCTTCTATCCTATATGATAGGCATGTTAGCAGTACATAGCGTATAGAGGACTGGGCCCAGTCCGGCTCTGATGTCTCTTATGTCGGAACCTTCATCTCCGCACTTCACGAAGAACTTTCTGCAATAATTGTTGATATTTGGAGCAGCAACAAAGACTCAGAAGACACATTTAAGCAGTCTAATATTACAGAAAATTAAAGTGAAAATCGGAGATGAATATAATACTATGTTGATATGGGAAAAAGTGGAAGCCTTCGCCAATTATATAAAAAAGCACATGCCAAGTTGTGATTGAGCTCTTTAGAAATTCAAACAACTAGAGAAGCTAAAGTCGGGTGTCCCGACTTTGAAATGCTCTGTACGTATGCTTACAATAATTATAGAAATTAAAAAAAGTAAGACAATTAAAAAAAAACAATGTTGATCGATTTTACCTCTTTTGGTATTCGAATTCACGTAAAGGGTGTATAATTGCACATCTACATAGCAATTGCGTCTTATAGTCTTCGAGATATAGGCGATTATACGATTGGAAAATCGGGAAAACCCCCATAGGGGGAAATTGGGGGAAAATCAAAAAAATAATACAAACTTGCACAGCATACACACATAACGCATCTTTGTGCAAAATTTGGTGCCTCTAGCTCTTATAGTCTCTGAGATCCATGTGTTCATACGGACAGACAGGCAGACGGACAAACAGACAGGACTAGATCGACTCGTCTCGTCATGCTGATCAAGAATATATATACTTTGTGGGGTCTGCCACGCCTCCTTCTGCAAGTTACAAATACAAATACAAATTATTCAATATATACAAGTACAAAAGTGGAGATATGTTCATGTACAGTTCCAAGAGCATACATTTACATCAGACTCGTGTCTCTGCGTGTTTATATGTGTCTATAGAGCACAAAATTTAACCAAAGCAGCAACAAAAACAAGTAGAAAAGGTAAAGTCGGGTGTCCCGACTTTGAAATACTCTGTACATATGTTAAGAATAATTATAGAAATTAAAAAATTAAATAAATTTAAAAAAATTTTGACCGATTTTACCTCTTTCGGTATTCGAACTCACGTAAAGGGTGTATAATTGCACATTTACATAGCAATTGCGTCTATGTGAGTGTATGTATGCCTATGTGCGTCTGTTCGTGTGAACATGTTTGCAGTAAACCAAAGCACCAGCATCAACAACAGCCGCGGGCAGCACTTGGGCAGCAAATATATTTATAGCAATAACTTTTTGTTAAAGCGGTCTATCATAGTGAAACTTGGCATAAGGACACATAATCACTAACAGGGTGTAAATGCAAAATTTGAGTTCAAAATTTCAAGTTGGTGAAGGGGGAGGGAGGGAAATTCCAAAACACACATTTTCTAATTTCGTATTCACATAAGGCATCGTGGACTAAAATTTGGTGTCCCTAGGTCCTGTAGTCTCCGAGATATAGGCGATTATACGAATGGAAAATTGGGAAAACACCCATAGTTGCGTAGTGGGGGGGGGGGGGGGGGGGGAATAAAAAAAATAAGACATACTCGTATAGCGTATACATAACGCATTTTTGTGGAAAATTTGGTGTCTTCTGCCATAAGGCATCTTGGACTAAAATTTGGTGTCCCCAGGTCTTATAGTCTCCGAGATATAGGCGATTATACGAATGGAAAATCGGGATAACCCCCATAGGGGGGAAGTGGGGGGAGGGGGTGAAATCAAAAAAATAAAACAAACTTGCACAGCGTACACACATAAGGCATCTTTGTGCGAAGTTTGGTGTCTCTACCTTTTATAGTCTCTGAGGTCCAGGTGTTCATACGGACAGACTGACAGATGGACAGACAGACAGACAGACAGGGCTAAATCGACTCGTCTCGTCATGCTGATCAAGAATATATATACTTTGTGGGGTCTGCCACGTCTCCTTCTGCCTGTTACATTTTTCACCTCCCGCAAACCTAATTTATATATATCTATACTAGCAGGTATTGCCCGTCCTAACCCGGCTCAATATAATGTTTCCAATTGTATTTATTTTGTGTGTGCATAACCTACCCATATGTTTTCACCTTATAAGTTACCAGTAGGAAGTTCTTGACAAAAAATTTTTCAGTAGTCCGTTACATTTTTGTTCTTGCCAAACTATTTCGTTAAAAGAACATGACCACTATAACTAATATTTTTTAAAGCTCGTTTTCCCCCCTTTGGAGCTAGAATTTTCCAAAAGCCTTTCTTAGTGTGCTCCTACACTATGATTGATACTATGAAAGGATACTTGAGTCCAAATTTCATCTTTTACCGTTTGGGCTGTGCGTTGATCACCAATTAGTCAGCGCAAACTGTTTTATATATAGAGATAACGCAACGTTTTAAGATAGACTATGTGAAAAAAGGGGAATAATTATAAGGTATATCCTAATTTTAAATTCACATTTGAGTCTTTTCGTGCCATATTGAGTCAATACGGTCACGCCCAAACCACTGACAATTCTCATCTCAATTTGCTAGAGTAAAACTTTCGATAGTTGAAGCCACCGATACCATCAAAATATCGAAGTTTGAATGCAATAAGCAGAATATTTAAATAATAAAATCTAATTATTTATTGAGATCAATAAGAACAAATCATATACATACATCTGCCCGCAATGCGAAGGAGAATATGCGTATCTCCGTTATTCGGTTTCTGCTTTACTATCGGTTACGCAGTCGTTGCCTAGCGACGGTAACTGTAAACTTTTGGCGTTTTGCATTTGCAATTAGCATTAAATGGTCAAAACGAAAGAAGAAGAGCGAGCCAATGACTTGCAGTTGTTGTTGTTTTTAGAGCATTATTTTATTTACAATCAAACAACTGTGTTCGATTGCCCAATGTATACATTAATACGAATGTACATACATGCTATATTCATACACAGGCATACATACATACATATGTATGTTTCTCTTTACTTTTTCAACCGTACGTAGATAACCGCACACATAGACACGAACTAGT